ATCATTGTGCGAGGCTATGATTGTTCGTTTCTTTTTTATATTTTTTATCTTTTTCGTATTTTAGATTTTTAACCTGAAGGAAGAAGGAAAGTTATAACATAATACAAAAACGTGTGGACGTTTGTTTGTCGTCTTCTTTTGCTTGTGGAACTTGTTTTTTATTTTGTTTTTTTGGCCAATGCGTCTGCTCGTTCTGGTTGTAAACTGAGTTCAGAGATGAAGGATGGTAGTTAAGAGTAGATGTTGATATTTTTGTCAATGGAGAATGATATATTTTGCTATTTTATGCTTTTGATTGGTTGTTAATAGTATTGGAAAGTCACTATTGGTAAGACTAATAGCCATTGATCCTTTCTAGAATCATTTAGGATAACAGTGCACGCGGATTATGTTATGCCCTTGTAAGTTGTTATATTTTGGATGTCACCGTGGAAACGTAAGGTATTGCGCTTCCCTCAATAACTTTTCTGATGTTAAACCTCAAAACTTTTGAAGTGATTTTTATCTCAGGAGGATCCAGCGCTTTTAGTTTCTCATAATGGGAATCAGATGGTCTCTTTAATGTACCATATGAACAATTTACAATAAGAACTCTAAATAAATTTTCTTTCTGTGGGTATATATTGCAGCTAAGATTATATGGATACGGACGTGCCATCATTTTTTAGGATCATATCCTGCTCCGAGGATGATTGGCGTGAATGGCTGGTACTTTCATTTATTTTTGTTTCAAAAATTAGATCTTGTTTGCATTTTATTGTGCTATATTAGTGGTGTGTAATGTGTAATTGTTACATACGTAGTATAAATTATTATTAATCATTGTTGTAGCCGTTGCCTTCTAAAATATATAAAGAGTACGATGGGTTGTTGCCACGTGTTTGCCATTTGACAACAACCGATGGCGAGGAATATGAAGCAACAATGGGTATCAAAAATGGGAAATTAAGTATAACAGCAGGATGGGAAAACTTTATGGATTTAGAGTCCATTGAGTGCGGTTACCAGTTGGAGTTCTATCGCCACAGTCTGTTCGATTTTGAAATTGAGATTATGGATGAGAATGGATGCAAAAGAGAGCCAATAGGTTCATTTACTTTGGACATAAAGAGAACTCATGTGGAGCGTGCAAGGCTGGTAATATTTTCGTAAAACCTTGTTACTGTGTGTGTATAGACCTTAAGCGTTTTCGGCGCATTTGAGCCTTTTAGTTTTATTTTTTATTTTTTATTTCAATTAAGCAACACTAACAACATAAAATCACCGAATGATGGTTAGCTTTTTATGAATTTCATTTGTTTTAGTTCATCCCGATGCAATTTTGGCGCGACTATATTGAAGGATTGTACGCCAATACCAATGTAGTATATCTGCTCATTGGGCAGCGCAGGTATGAATTGGAGGTTGTCGAGGGGCACGGGAAGAAGTTGCTTCAAAGAGGCGCAGCACGTAGGTTCATGGATGAGAATGAGATTGTCGAAAACTGTTTGTACAAGTTTTGCTTGGTTCCTGGTGAATTAATAAGATTCAAGGTGTACTAAAGTAGTTTAACGGTGGCAATGTAGTAATTTTCTCCGTACGTATTTTTTTGCTTATGTATCCTTAATTCCTTATGTTTGTTTTTTGTTCTTAGACATGTGTGCTATGAATTTTAACAAGCATTGGAATTGAAATTTGATTTGGATAGTAGGTGTAACCTTCATTGTAATTTAAGAATAGTAGATGTAAGAATGGGAATATATGCTGAAAATGTTATTATGTAATTAAGAAGTTGAGTCAAAAAAGAAGATGGTGGGAGGAAAGTGAGATCCCAAAAAAAATATTATTTTGTTAGATTTTTTTTTTCAGCTTGTTTATAATGCAGCGAGAAAGCACGACAATGGTGTATATTCGTGTATGATGTATGCATATAAATATTTCGCCCATTTTTTTTAAATACTCTGGGTTTAAATATTGTCTACATAGTTGGTATGCATTTTTGTTTATTTTCAGTAAGCTCACGACATTGGAGATCTTACAGCCATGGAATGTTAACAATTGTATGTATTATTTGTTGATACACTATTTTTTTATTTTATTTTATTTTATTTTTTTTGGGTGTAGTGGTTATAATGGTTTAATTTTTTAACAAACAACATTAATTGGCTCGTGCAATATGTGTCATTGGCAAGCCGAAAGGTTGTTCGACTAATAGAACACCAAAAAAGGGCAACGAACCAATTAGTGAACCATTTGGTGTTGTAAATTTTTTTGTCATTGTTTACATGTCAAAATCGCATTATCAGTTTATGCATGACGCTGTGGTTTGAAAAAACCATTGTGGCCAAAGATTTGTTGGGGGTAGAGTTAATATCATTAGAGACTCCGTTTTAAACTACAAGGTGCTATTTTTTTTTACCACTTTAGTATGTTTAAAAAAATCATGTGATAAGATGTTGGACTATGAACCAATGAGTACACTCACATGGTAGGTCTGCACAGGGGAAACAGAAACTCAATTGCAGCAACATAATTCCAGACACTTAATATCATTTCAACAAAATAAGTCCAAGCGACACGCATAACCAAAACGCCATCAAATCATTAACAACAAACATCCGTTCACGTACACACAACGATGGCCATTGCTGCAGAAGTCAGGAAACATTCTAGAATCTTGTAAGCACCACAGCATGAAGATGCTTAATTGGTTCTAGAATTATAGCCCCCACATAACAAAAGGTGCATAAGCGTACTTGCTAACAACTTACATAACATAATACAAAATAGATTACTAAAGTTGGATGCCTAACTTATGGAGCGTCACTTCTTTGTGTGTGTCCTCTTGACTGGGCCACCCACTGTCTGCTGCTCGGTCACAACTTTTTTGGTAGGACAGGTGCCGCTGCCCTCGCTGTGCTGCAGATAACCAGCATCCTTCATTCCATTCTCATCACCTTTGAAGTCGACGTGACGCCCAGTGAGCAAGTCACATGCAAGATCAGCGCCTGTGCCCATAGGTCCAACAGGTGCTGCCTCAATATGCACCTGTACTTTTGTCTCTTCTTCAGCCTATATTTTATTGGAAACATACTTAGTTTAATTTTTTTCAGGAAATCTACGCCTTTATTATAGACATACAACAATAATTTCCTAACCTCAGTTCTAAGGGGTGATTCCTGAGTTATGCACTCATCCGAAACTGGAAGTATGTAGTCTGCCAATTCAGCATCCACGTATAGCTTAACCACGGCGTAGGCTGTGCCATTTGCCTGATAAGACCGGACAAAAGCCACACCATGAGTTCCCTTTATCTCGGCCCGTGACTTCTCCAACAAATCCACACCCTGCAGATTTAAATTCATGTTGTTGAGGATAAATTGAACCACAACTACCTATTGTCACCACATGTTCAACAAAGATAATAAGACTATGGAAAGTATTTACACCAAATCCTTTTTAGTATTACTGATTACCTGTGCATCCGCATCCTCAAGTTGTGCAGCAGTGTGGCTGATGAGCTTTTCACCGTCTTCGCCATAGACAACAGCTGCAATGGTGCCAGTCACATCTTCAATGGTTATTGGAATCCTGGCCCTGCAATAAATCTATTTGTTTTTTTTTTAAGCCCAAAGCAAGCATGTTTTCTCATGTGTAACAGGTTATATGAAATGGCAATACCTCGCTACTATCTGGTTGTCCTTGTTGCAAGAGCTGCACCTAATTTCAGAGTCCACGGGCGGGTCGAATTTTTTTAGGCAGAGCATGCATGCGCCAAACCACAGTTGCTGGTCTACATGACCCATAGCAACTGATCCTTGTATCCATGCAGTATGAACCTATGTTGTGCAACAGCCCAAAAATTTTATTCAGATGAAGCACACACAATTATACTTTTTGAATATCATAATATGTACCCCGTTATTGGGGCTCAGAAGTGTGGCAATGGTCTTGATGTCCTCAGATTTTGGTGGCGGGAGCAAAATTACAGGGTTCTTGTATGCCTCAGTTGCAATGAGCTCCGACACAACTTCCTTGTTTTGCAAGTACCTGAAATCATTAGCCCCACATGTTATGTTTTAAACTGGTACAACGGCTCCTATCTTACAGGTACAATTTGAAACGACCTACCAGTGTTTTAGAGCAGCAGCATCGGGCGTCGGTGGATTGATGAGAATAGAGCTGGCTGTTCTAGTGGACAACGAAAGAGCATGGAACGTAGTGACTTTCACCCGCATAGCTACAACAACATTTCCCGCGTTGATGGTTTGAGCTAGCTGTGACCCTTCGATCTCACCAAAGCCATTCCATAGAGTAAGTATCATTGGCACCATCCTACAATAAAAAAAGTATTATCAGCAACACCACAACAGCCAACAAGAAAGCATCTATGATATCTAAGTTCGGATAAGGCTCACTCTTGATTGACCAAGACAATGTCCATGTTCACTGCGTCCACTCCAACATCTTTCATCTCAAAAACAAGTGCCACCATACCCTGAAAATCTGCGCAACAACATACCATCACACAGGAGCCAGCACAAATGCGGCAGAGGCAGCACAAAAAAACATTTTAAGACACCAGTAATTTATACTTCATTTCTACAACTATAAAATGAGATACGACATACTCTGCAGATGTTCGGTGTCCACAAATTTATGCAAATTACCAAACTCCTCACACTGAATCTGGCAGTCAAGGTGTTCCGGCAGCTTATCCTCACAAGGTTGAATCAAAGTGCGGTTGGTGATTGTCCATGAGAACGGATAAGAGCCGACCATGTATTTCGGGTCTGCCATCTTTAATGCAGCCCCAGAAACATAGTACCTCTTATAGAGCTGCAGCATAGGCGAAGATTCCCTAATATTATTGTTATATGCTACTGTCGCAACTTCCGTGCCCTGAAAAAGAAACACATGGCAATGTTAAGTCAAATATCAGATGTTAGAGAAAAATGATTCCTGGCCAAAATTGAGGGTTGCATCATGTATCATGCACATCACCTCAGAGTCCACGAACTGAAATCGACGGTAAGAAATGAATGCATCCTTTTGACTGGTAAATATGTTGTTGCGCTCAACAACCTGAACCAACACTGTCCAGCCTTTCACATTCTGGTCAACCTGCGCAATTTGCATAGTGTTACTCATTCTTACCTACCAATTTGAAACAACAAAAAACCAAGAATAAGCAGCCCCTTTTTTTTTTAAAAAAAAAAAAGCAAGAATGTGGAAGTAATAAGGAAGACCAATGAAATAATTAGGTGTAGTCCAAACAAAACCAATTTGATTTTTTTTTTCACTAATGTAGAAGCACAGTGTATTGCAAAAAAAAATGTAGAATGCTATTTTCTTACTAAGTTTTTCTTCTATGGATTTGTCTGTGTGAGTGTTCGTTCATATTGCCCCACTATATATAGCCCGCAATCGAAGAACAACAGTCGGCAATAACAGATAAAGGTGCCACTGTTGTGCAAGTACACACCATCCACGCCCTAAAGATTTGCCTTTTTCCACCCACCTCACTTCCGTTCTGAAATTGTGTGCCTAAACCCAAAACTGTACCTATGATTGAGTCAGTCACATCATCTTTGTGGGCAATCACTGAGACCACAGTGAGAGGCTAAAAAAATCAGATGAGAAAATCTGAGGCGTGCATACCACAGAAAAAAAAAACCCAGGCAGAAAAGCAGAGATTACGTATTCGGTGCCACAGCCTCAACGTTTTGGCACTTCAATTTGACTTTTTCTTGCGTTCAGGAGCCTTCAATGTGCCATTATGTGCAGGAGCGTAATACGGGAAATGACCGATGAGACGTAATTTTGTAGGTACATGCGCAAAAAAGTTTTGCCGTACAATAAGGCCATACTGTAATCCTTCATCGGATTTTCATTGACCACGATACCTGCACAAGATAGCGCACATGATTGGGGCAGTTATAAATTATCCGGTAATTTTATAAGGACATAGTGTTCAGGCAGATTTTATTGAAGTCTAATTAAACGACGGTTATAAGTTCATTTAAAAATTCTTGGAAATAAAATGATTAAGTATCCAAATAAATATCCAAAAAATTATACACAAAACAAAAAAATAAAAAATAAAATTTACTCTTCAAAAAATTATAGTATTTTAAACCTCCAACTATACTTATGATTCAAGCAGTCAGCAACGATGAGGCAAAAGGGAACGGCTTACATTGTTAGCCGTCACCTTTAGCCGGTAGATGCACCGCTATAGACGTTGTGGGCAAGATTGACGGGAGTTGGTTTACACTCAAAAAATAGAGCGGTCTTTTTATTTGAATTTTTTGTAGCTTCTAAATTAATTGATTACAAATGTAATTAGGTTATAGAATGTAGATTAAAATTTGTGTTGTCTTTGGTGGAGTGATTTATTTATTTGACGTCTTTTTATCTTTTTCGCGAACATTTTATTTCTTAATTTATTTTGTTTATATATTGATGAATAACAACCATGGTTTCACGCAGCGACGATGGTGGTTCATGTATTGAACATCAATTTTTTTTACCTAATAACAACAACTAGTTTCAAATGCAACACAATTCTCTGCAAAAACTTTTGTGCGAATCACTTCTCAGTGCATTGAATTTTATAGCGACAAAACTCGCGTCCTAAACAAAAAAATAAAGAGCACATAAAATAATTAACTAATTGATCTTTAAAATTGCAGGATACATTGGTATACCCATTTTGTCCAATTGTTCCAACACCAGAAACGACAAGAAGTTAAAAATTTGAAGGGAACAAAAGAAAGACAATTTCTTGGGACGGGGCGAATAACAGCTAAAACAACACGAACAAAGATAAATGTAAACATGTCCTAGACAATGACCCTAAATGTAAGGTTTTCACTTGGAAGCAACGTGAAACTGCAAATTCATCCCTCGACAATCCCAACGTGCTGTATAAAATCTTTGGTATGTCCATGTTCCATTAAGTTCTCACCATGTCGTTGGATAACTCGAAGCACATACACATCCCCTTTAAACAGCAAGCAAGCCCTGGTAGTGTCACAGATTTCGCTTTCGATGTGCGACTTTCAGAAGCTCATTAGAATATGCTGAAAAAAAAAATTGCAAGGGTATTAAATTGAATAAGTACCCCATAATTATTTTAGTAAATTACTAGTTGCATTATATTATAAAGAGGAGTTAAGAAGGTCAACAAACGTGCACACTTAACATGTGTTTTCTGGACGTGCAATGTGAACCAATATTGCGGCATGACGACACTTAACATGGTTATTCATCGATTTCATGGTAACCTCATAACTGTGTCCTTCTTTCGTCCTGAAAGTACAGAGCAGCGGCATGACGGGTTGTTGGCCGTCTGGTTGGCTGTTTTTAATTATTTATTTTAGCAGTGTAGAAGCAGACAACAATTTTGGAGAGGATATTTTAAGAAATATGAGCATTAACAATTTGGCCCGACTATTTGAAGAAAAGTTAGCACGACCGAAAGTTAAATTTAGGTTCAAAAATATTGGAAACCGTGTTCCAACAGCAGGGTTTGCCCCTTACAATTCCATTTACCATTACTTTGTAATATATATATGGACAGTCCCAAAAGAAAATGTAACATTTGAAAAAGAGAAACAATGTGATAGTTAATAACATGAGTGTACATATGAATGATTTGAGTGAGTCCGACTAAATATTCTTTTTGTCCAAATACTTGTCCGTTGGTTACTACAAATATTTTCTGTTTAGATTTGTTTTTTCCATACAGTTCATTCCACCAGAGCATTTATTTTAAAGTGGAAGGTGTCATGTCTTCAGAAGGGTCAGAAGGTTTGGAAAAACAATAGCACAAAATGCGTATGGTAAAAAAAGCATTATGTCCACACAGTTTGTCTTAAAAGGGAACACCAGTGTCACTGCACTAACATTGTTCCAAACACTTAGCACGATTTTTACAAAATGGGCCCCGGCAGCATACATCGGCAAAACAGCACAAAACCATGAACCTAACAAAAGAGCCCCTGAACGTACAGAGAGCGATGGCTACCAAACAAGTACTAAGGTGACATTTTAGAATCTATTAAACACCCAGTGCAAAGGTGTTTAATTGGTTCTACAATACTATCACCACACACAACAAAAGGTTATCAGAAATGGTGCGTAAGCATAGGTGCCAACTATGCACACAGTATAATACAAAATAGAGTAGTAGACTTCGTGGCGCAGCTGATGAGCAATCACTTCTTTGTTCGTGCTTTCTTCACCGTGAAACCCACTATCTGCTGCTCAGTGACAAATTTCTTTGTAGGTAAAGTGCCACCGCACTTGCCATGCCACAGGTCATCCACATTCTTCATGCCACTCTCATCAACTTTGAAGTCGAGGACACTCCCAATGAGTGTCTCACATGCAACATGAGCATCCTTGCCCACACTTTGGCCGGCTACTGGCCCAATGCACGCATCATGATATGCCGCCTGCACTCCTGTCTCTTCCTGAGCCTGCATTTTAGAGTAGGTAAAATGATTTCAATTTCTGCCATGAAATTCACACCTCTATTATAGCAACACAACAAAAAATCCATAACCTAAGCCTTAAGTGCGAACTCCTGGGTTATAGACTCGTCTGAAACTGGAAGTATATAGTTGGGCAATTCAGCATCCACATACATTTTGACCACGTAGCAAGTCGTGCCATTTGCCTGAAAAGACCGGACAAAAGCCACCACATGAGTCCCCTTCATCTCAGCCTTAAATTTCTCCAATAAATCCATGCCCTGCACATTTAAAATTTGTTTTTCATGAGGATTAAGTGCACCTGAACTATCTATCCTGACCACGTGTCCAGCAAAGATAATACAAAACCGTGTATAGTTCCCACACTGAAGCCTTTTCAGTATTACTAATTACCTGTGCATCCGCATCTTCGAGCTGTGCCGCAGTATGGCTGACATGCTTTTCACCGTCCTCACTATAGACAACAGCAGCGATGGTACCAGTTGCATCTTCAATGTTTATTGGAATCCTAACCCTGCAATAAATAGGTGTGTATTATTTTCGCACTCAAAGTAATTATGTTCTATCCTGTTTAATCGGCTATAGCAAGTGGCAATACCTTGGCACTATCTGGCTGTCCCGGTTGCAAGAGCTGCACCTTATTTCAGAGGTGACGGGCAGCTCGAATTTTTTCAAGCAAAGCATGCATGCAGCAAACAACAGCGGATGTCCTACATAGCCAAGAGCAACTTAACCTTGTATCCATGCAGTCCGAATCTATGTCGTGCAACACTCAAAAATAATATCAGGATGAATTACATGCAACTATACTCCTAAAAATCACTGTATGTACCTTGTCATCATGGCTGAGAAGTGTGGCAATGGTCTTGATGTCCTCAGCTTTTGGTGGCAGCAACAAAATTGAGACGTTCTTGTATGCTTCAGTCGCAATAAGTTACGACACAACTGTTTTGGTCTGCAAGTACCTGCATTAATTATCCACATATGTTAAGTTTAAAGTGGTCCAATGGTTGCTATCTGACAGGTACAATCTAAAATTACCCACCACTGTTTTAGGTTGGCAGTAGCAGGTGTTGGTGGATTGATAAGAATAGAGCTCGCCGCTCTAGTAGACAACGAAAGGCCATGGAACGATGTGACTTTCACTCGCATAGAGACAACAACATTTCCCGCGTTAATGGTTTGAGCCAGCTGCGAGCCTTCGTCCTCACCAAAGGTATTCCATAAAGTAAGTATCATCTGCACCATCCTAGAACCATAGCAGCATTATAGGCGACAACAATCCAGCCCAAAAAAAAAAAATGCATGTACGATATGTAAAGGATAAGACTCACTCTTGATTGACCAACACAATGTCTCTGTTCACCATGTCAATCCCAATGTTTTTCAGTCCAAAGGCGTGCACCACGACACCCTGAACGTCTGCACAAGAACACACCGTCATACAACAGTGAGCACAAATATGGCAGAGAAATGAGCACACAATAGTGAGCACAAATCTGGCAGAGACACCAAGGAACATTTTAACAAAGCAGTAGTTTAGACTAAATTTGTATAATTAATATACTGTGAGATTACACACTTTGTAGATCTTCCGTGTCCACAAATCTATGCAAATTCCCAAAGTTCTGGCACTCAATGGCAGTCAAGTTCGTCCTCACAAGGTTGAATGAAAGTGTGGTTGGTGATGGTCCATGAGAACCGATAAGACCCAATCATGCATTTTGGGCCTTCTTTCTTTACGGCAGCCCCGGAGACATAGTACCTCTTATAGAGTTGTAGTATAGGCGAAGATTCCCGAATATTATTGTTACACGCCAACGCCACAACTTGTGTGCCCTGAAAAAGAACAGACAAGCATGTTACTTCAAATACATGACGGTACAGAAGAAACGATTCATAGACAAAATTGAGGCCCGTAGCATGTATCATGTATATCACCTCAGAGTCCACAAACGTAAACCGACGGTAAGAAATTGATGGATCCCTTTGACTAACAAATATGGGGCCTTGGTCAACAACCTGAATCAACGATATCCAGCCTCTCACATTGTCGTCAATCCGCGCAATCTGCATGGTATTCTTCATTGTGACCTAAAAAATTAACAAACATGAACCAACAAATGAGCAGACCAATTTTGTTTAAAAAAAACAATGCGGAACTCATAAGTAAGAGCAAAGAAATACTAAGCTTTTCAGAAAACCAAACTAATTTGATTCTTTTCTCAGCAACAGGTCTGCATTTTTTTTTTTTTTTTT